TTTACTTTTTAAAAAAAAAAAAAAAAAAAAAAAAAAAAAAATGTATCATTTCTAAGTTTAATTTAAAATATAGGTAACTTAAAAAAATACATCTATACAAAATGATTTAACTTTTAACTATAAAATTTTTATAGAAATATTAATTATACATTTTGTATAAATTTTTATTGAAAAAAAAATTTTACATCATTAAAAAATATTATTTTATTTTTTTAAAACTTACAAGATTTATTAAAATTTTTAATTATTTCTATAAAAATAAAAAATATGCAATCTTTTATAAATATAATTTATGTGTTTATAAATTTAGTTTTTTATTCTGTAGAATGTTTTATAAAAACTTTAACATTCTTGATTATATAAATATTTGTATTATTTTTAAAGTTATTAGTATACTACAAAATTTTATAATTATAGAAAAATAACATAAAATTAATAGTATATTTTTAATTAATTAAAGTGTTGTATTTATTTATTTATTTATTTATTTATTTTTTTTTTTTTTTTTTTTTTTTTTTCAAATAAATGTTTTTATTTAAAATTTATTATTTAAATTTAACGAATTTTCTCAAACATCAAAAAATTAACAAATGTATAAAATAAAAATTAAACTTAAATATGTACTACCACATACTTCTAAAAATATATATTAAAAATTATTAAAAGGAATTTAGTAAACGATGACTTATAAATATATAAGTTAATTCAAATAATAACATTATATATACATATTAATAAAATAAAGAAATATATAAGAATATAATAAGTAAACAAATAAAAAAATAAATGCAAATGTGTAAATTTACATAACTGAAAAAAATAAGATATTCTTGCATATAGGAAAAGACATATGAATAATGTTTGTATTTAGATGAAAGTAATGATTCTTCTCATTCATTATAATTGTTTCTTCTTTTATATTTCATTATTTATATAATATTCCTAAAAGCAATTTATTTTAAGTATATTGAAATGCAGAATTCATTGCTAACTTCTTTTTTTTTTTTTTTTTTTTCATTATGAATTATTTTATCTAGGATAGTAAATATATTTTCTTAAGTATTATCATTTGAATTTTATTTGTTTATGTTGCTTATAAAAGTTTATTTTTTCTACTTTCTGTGAATTATTTATTTGGTAGTTCGTAATTTTTTCTATTCAATAATAAAAAAAAAAAAAAAAAAAAAGAAATTTAGAGAAATGAGTAAAGATTTAATAGATGGATCTATTTTACATTGTTTAGAAACGGCAACTTTAGGTTTGCCATTAGAAGTATGGAAAACAAGAATGTGTATTTATAGAAATGAGAATACAATAAAATCCTTTAAAAATATTTATAATAAGGGATTAGGTCAATTTTATGCTGGTTTTTATGCAAAACTAGTAGAAAGTGCTAGTAAAGGAGCAGTTTTATTATTATCAAAAGAACAGATAATAAATTTTTGCAATAATTTAAATATTAATAAAACAACTAGTGGTTTTATTGGAGGAGCTTGTGGTGGTATTTGCCAATCGTTAGTTATGACACCTTGCACTTTTTTTATAACAGCTAGTATTGATAAAAAAATTAACTATAAAGAAAAAATTGTTTACATTTTAAAAAATACAGGAATTAAAACTTTATATAAAGGTAATAGTGCAATGTGTTTAAGACAGGGAACCAATTGGGCAAGTAGACAAGGAATTACTGAATGGATAAGAACTAAGGTTATTCAAAAAAAGAACAAAAAAGAAGAGAAAAAAATTAAAAAAATTGATGACATAAATAATATAAAAAGTGTAAACGATTCTAGCAATTTCAGTTTAACAAATGAAAATATTATTAAAAAAAAGGAAAACTCATATAATTTAACCACATTTGAAGAAATTATTTGTGGCATTATTGGTGGTGCGCTGTCAGTATGGAATAATCCGTTTGATGTTATCAGAGTACATATGCAAAATAATGCAAACAATAATATTAAGTTAACATTTTTTCAATCGTTTACTAATTTATATAAAGAAGGAGGTATACTTTACTTATATAAAGGTGTTATACCTCGCTGCCTTCTGTGCATTTGGCAGACATTATTTATGGTTACTGGTGTTAAGATTTTAAATAAATATTTTTAACTATATTTTATTTTATAATTAAAATTTATTCTTATATATATTTTAACGTAGAATTCCTTTACAAGAAGTTTAAGATTTTTTTATAAAAGTAATATTATATGACTTCATCAAATTTTTAATTAAAACATTTTTATAGAACATATATACATGCATATATATAAATATATGTATATATATTTTTATATAATAAAATGATATTTATCCATATAGAAAAATAAATAAATTATAAATTTTTATGGTTATATATAAATAACTAAAAAAATTGTAAATATATATATATATTATAAAAACTTATATGTATTTGCTTAAATTAAAAATCCGAAATATTGAAAAATTAAAAATTTTAACAATTATATATGTTGATGTAAATAATATTTATATATATATAAATATGTGTACATTTTTTTTTAAACATTAAAATTCCATGATTTTTTCATTTTTTATTTGTATTTCTTATATGTTTCTATATGTTAAATGTTAAAAACTTTTAATTGTACTACTTTTCTCATTTTCCTCATCTTTTTTAAAAAAATTTTTCATTTCATAAAATCTTTTTTTTTTTATTTCATATGCTATTTTCTTTAATAAATTAAAGTTTTTGGAATCTTTTTCTGCATATATATCCTTTATTGGTGGACCTGTTTTTTTTTTTTGAATGAACAATTCATAATTATTTTGCTCTTTCAAAATATTTTTATTAACAGGTTCAGGCATTGCGCAACCTGAAATTTTTGATATTCTTACACACTCCCCATTCATCATATACCTCCTTTTTACTACTGTTGGTTTTTTATTTATTGGATCTAAAATAGCTACATTTGTTATATGAATTGGCATTTCTTGTGTAATGATTGACCCTTTTTTACTTGTAACATTCCATGCTGATTTTTTCATATTACATCCATCAACAATTACAGTATTTCTTTTGGGGTTAATACTTAGTACTAGCCCTTCTTTATCTTTATCAGGTCCATATAATACTTTAACTAAATCGCCTACTTCTATATTTAAATATTTAGATAAATCTAATCTTTTTGGTTGATTTTGTTCTCTTAAAGGATATGGTATACTTAATTCCTTATTTAATTCTAAAAATTCTAGTTTATAATATTTTCGTTTTCTTTTATCTAGTTTTTTAGCTTGGACAAAATATTTAACATACTTTGACATTTTTTTTTTTTTATAAATTCAAATATATATTTTAAAAATTTCTATCTTCTTTTGTATAACTTTTTACTTTGTTTTAATAAAAATATTTTATAATAGTACTAAACATTTTATTATTAAAGTATATATTACTTTTATTCAACTTAATTGAAGTATTATATTATTTTTTATATTTTATAATTTTTTAATTTTCATTTTATTTCAGATTATTTAATTTTTTCCTTATATATACATAAATTACAATTCATAAGTTTTTATAAATTTCTATTTATATACTATTGTAAAAAGAATGAAAAATAACTGAGCTTATGAATCATATTTCACTTAATATATTAAAAACCTTATTTTTAGATCTATAAACAAAAAAAAAAAAAAAAAAAAAATATATATATATATATATATGTATAAAGTCCTATTGCTCTTATTTTTTTAATGTAAATAAAAGTTTTGTTTTCATAAGAAAATGAAAAAAATTTATCAATGATTGTTTAAAAAAAAATATATAAAATAATTTTCTATATTAAACATTATATATTTAAACTTAATTTGTTTGTATTTTTTATATATATTACTTTCATTTTTGAAAATTGAAAAAATTTTAAATTATGATGAAAAATTTGCACCTAAATAGAAGTAATGAAATTTATTCTGAATCTAGTAATGAAAATGAAAAAAGTAATTCTAATTATTTGTTAAATACAAAAAAAGTTAAGAAAAAAAGCAAAAGGGAGTTTGAAAAAAATTCACATAACTTAAACGATACAATAATGAATAATGGTCTTAAAAAATGCGAAAAAAAAGCGTTTAATGTTATAGAAAAAGGAAAAAAAAGATTTAAAAGGCTTGCGGTTAAAAAAAAATGCAATTCAAATGTTAAGTTGCAAGACAATGCAAACTTCATAAGTAATAAAATTTGTATTTTGAATAATGAAAACAAAAATGGGCACATTACTAGTAATAATAATTTAAACGACGTGAAAATTATTAAAAATAAATATTGCTCTAAAAAAACAAAAATTGATAAAATGGAAAATGATACATCAAGTAAAAAAAACGAAATAAATGTAAAAAACAATGACAATAATAATAAAGTATCCGATAAAAATTATGAGAAGAATACTTTAAAAAAAATAAAAAATAAAAAGATTAGTGATAACCATACGAACTCTTCAAAAATAGAAAACCAAGTTTTTGATATTAGCCATCACATATATAACATATTAAATATATTAAATTTACCGAAATCAGATATTTTAAAAAGAACAAATAAAAGGTTCGCTGAAACTTTTTTATATTTAACAAATGGCTATAACGTTGATATAGAAAAAATATTTAAAGGATCTATGTACAAAAGAAAATACAAAAACAATTCAGTAATAAAGATTACAGGGATTCAAATAAATTCTCTCTGTAAACATCATTTACTACCTTTTCAAGGGATATGCACTATTGAATACGTTCCAAACAAATACATCATGGGGTTATCTAAATTTTCAAGAATTGTAGATGCATTTTCTAGAAGATTGCAACTACAAGAAGATTTGACTAATGATATTTGTAATATTTTAAGAAAATATTTAAAACCATTAAATCTTCAAGTTACTATAGTAGCCAAACATTTGTGCATTAATATGCGTGGAGTGAAAGAGCACAATTCTACTACTGTTACACAAGTATGTTGTAAATTAAAAAATAATAAGTATACAAGTAAATCATATATAAATAACTGTTTTAAAAAAGAAAATGATATTAGTAATTATGACAGTATTAATAAAATGAACTATGATGAAAATTATTAAAATTAATGATCATTTTTAATATATATTAAAGGGAAATAATAATAATATACTTAAAATTGTTCCATTTTGTTAATTGATAACTTTATAAAACAGTACAATTTTTTATTTAAATTATTATATTTATTTTTTTATAATCACAAAAGCTATTTTTTTTTTTTATTAAAAATTAAATATTTTTCACTCAAAATAAAAAATAAAAAAATGGAATAAAATAATAAAAAAAAAAAAGAAACATTAAAATAGCATAATTTTTTTTTAAAAAAGAATTAAAAATATATTTATTAAAAATATAAAAATAGAAGAAAATATAAAATGTAATAACAAAAAATATATATATCAAAATTGCAAATTACATAAAAAAAAAAATATGTATATATAAACAAAATTTTATTGTTTTGTGCTTTAAAATCTATTATTTCTTTAAATTTATTTAAAAATGTAAAATTAAAGAACAACAAGAAAGCATTTCAAATAAAAGACATCGTTTTTTAAAGAATGCAATACAAAATTCATTATGTATGCATACACTTATTCATTTTTCATTTATATAACTTTTTTTTTTTTTTTTTTAATCGTACATATATTTTTATTTATTTTTTTAAAGTGTGAATTGTTTTTGATATTTTCAATTTCCAAATCAAAGTTTTCACAAATTTTTACTAATATTTCACTGCTATTCAATAAGATGTCATAGAGAAATTATATACTTATCATTATTATTATTGGTGTTATTAATTTTAATACTAATTATTAATATAATTATCATTTTTATTAATATTATTTTTGTCATTCTTATTGTTATCATTACTATTACTACTTTTTCTAGTTTTATTATATAAATGTTATTATTTCTTTTATTACTTAATATTATTATTTGTATCATTACTAATTATTATATTTATTATTACTGATTATTATTATTCTTCATTACTATTATTTATTATTGTAGTAATTATTACTAATTATATTATTATTACAATTATATTATTAATATATATATCAATTATACCCAAAACTCTTTTTAATTCTTCTCATTTTAATCATCTAAAGAAATATGTGTTAGATTAATACAATTAATATTTCCACATGCCATTGTAAATGCTTTTTTTGGTTTCTTCTGCAATTCTTGAAAGCTAGCTTCATCTGTGAATGGTTTAATACAAAAATACATTTTTAATAATATATGCTTATGATTATATATATGTTTTTTAATGAATATAAAAGTAATAATATATAAATATATGAAGACATATGTAAATTTACATTTATATAAAAATAAAATAAACCTGCATACAAAAAAATAAGAACTCTATTTACATATGTAATAGTTTCAACACTATCATTTCCTTTTTTCACTGATATGATTGGGCAATTATCATTTTTATTTTTATCTCCATACCAAAAAACACATGCATAATCATCTCCTAAAATTGGATCATCATTTTTAGTTATGCCATTAGCAATTTTGCCTTAAAAAAGGACAATATTTTTTTTATTAAATAAATCAATATATATATACATGTTTTATGTTTATACATTTTTATATTTTTTATTTTTGCTTTTTTTTTAATGCTATGTATAAATAAATTTTATATTTCTTCATGTGTAATTTGATTTTATATAATTTTTCTTTTTATATTTTTTCAATAATTTTTTTTATTTTTTTTTTAAGTTTAATATATTTTTTTTTTTTTTTTTTGGTTACATAGAATATTTTGAAGTTGGTGTGAATCTTTCCAATATTCTTTTGCTCTTGGATGAACGTAGTTTTCCCATGCTCTACACAAAAGTAAAATTTCGTTTGTTGATCTTTTTTCTATTTGTTCACCAAATTTTGATACTACTTGAGATACATTATTACTACTACTATCCTATTCAAAAATATACATACACATATAAATATACATATATGTATATTAATATATATATATATATATATATATATGTATATATATAAATATTTATGTATATAATTTTTTTTTTTTTTTTTTTTTTTTTGAAAAAAAATTACATCATAAGTAACATTCGAATTTTTTTTTTCATCTTTTTTAGATGATCTTTCACCATATATATAATCTAAAATATAGTCAAAAGGAGATATTGAACAATATTGACAGTTAAAAATATCCATTTTATTTGAACTATAGTGTAATGAGATTAAAAAATTATATTTAAAAAAAAAAAAAAAAACCATAAAAAAATATACATGTATATATATATATGCAAATATGAATGTATATATGAATGTATGTTTAAGTATTCATTCATTTGTATGTAAATATGTGTTAATTTTTGAAAATAAATTTTAAATAATTTTAATTAAAAAAAATAAAAAAATTATTTACTAAAAAAAAAAAAAATATGGAAATTAAGTAAATATATTTTTTTTTGTATTGTATAATTTAAGTGATATTTTATTTGTGATAATATTTCATATTTCATTTCACTTTTACATATCTAATTAAATATTAAAATATATATTTCTTTTTTATTAATAATGTAAAATTTAATGCCTTTCTATTTAATAATTTTTAAAAAAAAATTTCTTTGTTTTTAATTGTCTTACAATGAAGTTTCTAGTAAAATTTGTTATATTATCTTTTTAAATTTTTTATAATACTTTATGTAAGATAATTAAAATATAAAAAAAATATATAAACTATTACTAAAAAAAAGAAATAAAAAAAACAAAAAATAATAAAAATATATAAAATAAAAAGAATGTAATTCTTATGATTAAATTAAGAAGAATTATTCTCATTTATACACATGTATGTATGCATATATGTATATATATATATGCTTACATATATGAAATTAAATATATATATGAACTTTTTTTATTTTTTTCATTCTTTTATATTTCGACCTAATACAATTTTTTTATAGCACAGACGTGCAACTAAATAGAAATATTCATATTATTTCTAAAATTTAAAAAAAAAAAATTTAGATTATTTTTAATTTTATTAAACTTATTCTATTATGTTTCATTTTTTATATAAATAGAAAAAAAAAAAAAAAAAAAAAAAAAAAATACTCTAACTATTAAATGATAGTAGCTTTCCTTTTTTTTTTTTTTTTTCATTTTCTTTTAAAAAAATTGAGTACAAGATAATTTATCTTTAATTTTGTTATCCCATTTTATTTGTGTAAATTGTTGTAAAATATTCATTTTTGTTAATATTATTTTATTTTTCAAAAATGTAGTAAAGAAAAAAAAATGATGAGGTTTAAAAAAATTTTACTTGAATAAATTATATGTTTAAAGATTATGTTAAAAATAGTTTCCTTATTAAAATATTTTATACATTTATAGAAATGAAAAAGAAATTAGATTAAAAGATTATTTAAAATGAGATATAAATTTAAATATTATATTTTTTACTCATGCATTTTAATTTATTTTTTCCATAGAATGTTATAAAAAAAGATTTTTATATTATTATCTATATAGAAGTATTGTTTTATTATATTATTATATATATAGAAGTATTGTTTTATTATATTATTATCTATATAGAAGAATTGTTTTATGTTATAATTTCTGTTGTTAAAATTACGTTATTGTAATAAAGTTGATATATATTTTAATATTAATTACCAAAAAACTCAATATATGTTTTTAATTATGGAAAAAATTTATATATATATATATATATATATACATTATTTCTTATTTTAAAATTTTTTTAAATGTTATAAATGGTCAAAAATAAATTTATTCTAATATGAAACAATATATCTTTATTTTTAAGCAGTGAAATTCTTTTTTCCTTTTTTAGAACAATTCTTAAAATTTCATTCAATTTGAAAAAAAATATACTTTATCAAAATTTTATTGCTCATTGCAACACTGTGACTATTTTAAAAATTATATTAAAATTTACCATTCTAATATATTAATATATATAATTAGTTTAAAAATTTTAAGTACCTTATAGTATAAAGAAAAAATTAAAAATTTTTTATAATTTATGTGAAAAAAAATTTTATAATAAAGTTAGAATCAATAACATTTATCCTTAATTTAAAAAATTTTTCTTTTTCTTTTTTCTTACAAAAAAGATATTCTTTAAATATCAATTTATTATTGTTTTCTTTATATTCATTTTATTTTTCAGTGAAAGTTTTTTTCTATGGTACATTTTTAAATAACTGATGAAATTTTATTAAAACAATATATATACATTAAAAAAACAAATAATATATATATATTTGTATATATATAACAATATGTATTATTTATGCTTTCTTTTTTTTTTTCAATTAATTTTTTGTGCCTTTAACAAAATGATAAATAGTATTCTATCAAAAAAAAGTATAATTCTATAAAAAAGAAAAATTGTATTAAAAAAACATGTATACACTCAAAAAAAAAAAAAAAAAAAAAAAAAAAAAATTTTGCAATGCTACTAATTTTTGACCCAAAACGAAAAGTAAATATATATTATAAAATTTTTTTNNNNATTATTTATGCTTTCTTTTTTTTTTTCAATTAATTTTTTGTGCCTTTAACAAAATGATAAATAGTATTCTATCAAAAAAAAGTATAATTCTATAAAAAAGAAAAATTGTATTAAAAAAACATGTATACACTCAAAAAAAAAAAAAAAAAAAAAAAAAAAAAATTTTGCAATGCTACTAATTTTTGACCCAAAACGAAAAGTAAATATATATTATAAAATTTTTTTTTTCTTATCTATTTATCTCATTTTTACCTTTAATACTAAAAAAAATTTTTTGTAAAAAATTCAAGTTTACTTAAAAATGCAAGCTTGATCTCAAAATTTGTTCATATTTTTTATAAAAAATGATTAATTACTACAAAAAAAATGATCATGCAATTTTTTTTTTTAATATGTAAACCAATTAAAGAAGAATATATATATATATATATCTATTAAAAACATAGAATATTTCATATAATAGTATATTATTGCATTTTATTTTTTTTTTTCATTTTTATTATCCATAATAACATAGAAAAAGTATTTTATTTTTTTTTTTTTTATTAAAGAACTCATGAAAAAAAATAAAATTCTAATATATTTATGTATTTTTTGTCTTTATAGAATTCTATTTTTATCAATTTCCCATTGTTTTTAACAATTTAAATAATTAAAAAAAAAATAAAAATGCAAGTTGTTTCAGACTTGGTAAACCTAAAATATCTTTATGATAAAATCCAAATTAATAAAATAATTAATAAAAATCTAAAAGAATTGATTAAAAACCCTGATTTTTCTTTTGAAGAAGAGATAAATAACTTTACCAACTTAAGAAATTCAATAATAATAGAACAATATAAAGGATTGAGTGTGAATTTATTAAACTTATATAAAGAGTATTTATTTTATTTTGAAACGTTTAAAAGAAAAAACTTATTAAAAGGAAAAAAAATACTATATACAAATGATATATTTGAAAAAAATAAAAAAGTAGAATATGAATTTCATCAAGAAAATACTTTAATTATTTATAACATAGGGATATTAAAATCGCATATGTTAAAATTAAAGAAAAATTCAGATGATATAAAATTATTAAACAAAATATCTAATGAAGTAGTAGAGATTTTTAATTATTTGTTTAAAAATCTAAATGAACAAAAATTGAGTGATTTAACAGATATTAATTGCATCAGTTCATATATTTTTTTGTGTCTAGTATCAGCATATCATGAAAATATGTTTTATAATACTGCCATATTAAAAAAATATAAAAGAAATTTATTATCTAAATTATCTTTTAATATTTATACATACTTTAATGATGCTCATTCATGTTTAGATGGGAAGTTTTTAGATGTATTTAAACAAGTAAAACATTTTTCTAATGCTAAAAATAATTTACAATATATAAGAAATACAAATGGATATTTCTATAATTATATTTATGTAAATAAAAAAATATTCATAAGTATAAGTAATTATCATTCATCCTTAAAATATGTAGAATTAAGTAATTCTGAAGAATTAAAAGTTAAAAAATATGAGGAAGAAAAAATTGGAGAAATTATTTGTAGATTAAATTATAGTCTAGATAATGTTAATAAAGGTATAGAATTATGTAAAAAGTATAATCTTAACATTAGTATTGTTTCATTAAAAGAAAAAATTATAAAAATACTTGAATTTTTTGAATATGAGAATAAAAATATCTATTTTGAAGTTGTACCTCCATATGAAAATTTAGAACCCATTAAAGGAACAGAAGTAGTAAAAATTAAAAATATTAATATTTCTGAAATTTACACAAAGAAAAAAATTTCTAATCGTTTAAAACTTTTATTTAATGAAAAAGCAAAAAATATTTATGAATGTTATAATAAAGAAGCATTATCAATATGTGAAAAGTATAATAAAATATTTCTATCTTTAAATGATCAATATAAGATGATAAATTTATCCTATAGAAAAAATATAATACTTACCTTAAATAATGTTATTATAGATATGTTTAATAGAAAAAAGCAGATTTATCAACCTAATGATTTTGAAAACATATTAAATTTTCTTATGAATGTTGAACAAAATTTAAAAGAAATATTAATTGAAGCAGAAAATAAATTGACTAATGAAAATAATAATCATTTAGAATTTCAAAAAAAATACGTTAATGTATGTATTAATCAAGATTCTTTAAATTCTTATAATAATTTTTTATTTCATTTAAGCAATTTTAAGAAATCTTTAGATGATCTTGGAAAAAATAATACCATTTTCAAAACATTCCATGAAAATAACTACTCAAATTTTCAAATTTGTGAAATGGATATATTACCTTTTTTTGAATATGTAGTAAATCAGTTAAATCATTGTATTGATATTAACTTGGAATCCTTAGAAAATGATTATTTGTATTATAAAAATATATTATCTGAAGAAAATGAAAATACATCTAATTCATTTAATAGTATTACTGATCTAGAAAATTCAAATAAATTATGTTTAAATTATTCAAATTTTTCCAATTTTATTAAATTAAATAATTTATCATTTGCTATTCAGAAAAATGCTAATAACCAAAATTTGTTCCATTACAATATATTAAATAAATATATAAATATTCAATCAGAAGAAAAAATTTATTATGTTATTATTTCTATATATTTCTCTTTGAATATTCAATTAACTAACTTTTCAAAAGATTTAATAGAAATAAAAGATAATATGGATGAACAATTTTTAAATATGTTAATTGTAATTATTAAGAAAAAACAATAAATAAATAAAATATATAAAAAATAAAATAATATAAATAAAAATAAATTATATTAATATTCCTTTTAAATGAAATTACATTTAGATATATTGATAATATATTTATTTATACAAATATATGTAAATAAATTTTTTTTTTTTTTTTTTATTTTTTTAGGAAGAAGATAATAATGAAAAACTAAATGAATTATTAGAAGAACAAAAAAAGTTACTTGATATAAAAAAAAAAAAATTAGAAGAAAATATTTCTGTATTTGAAAAGGATATTAATCAATTTTATAACTATTATCATGAATATAATAAATTAGAGTATTTTAAAACAATTGAAGTATGCTAACAAAATAATATTGTGTTATTTAATATATATATATATATAATATTTACATATTTTTATTTATGTTTTTCTTTTGAAGGATATCAATAATTTTATTAATGAATTAAAGAAAACATTTGATAATTTATATATAATGCAAAAACAGCATTTATATACTCTAAAAAGCGCACTATTATTTAAAGACGATGTAAGAAAATTAAGCATTAGAAAAAAAAAAAAAAAAAAAAAAAATTATTAATATTTATAATTTATTTAAAATAATTATTTTTATTTTTTTTCCCATAGATCAATAAATATATATTTATGAGAGAAAGCGAAAGGTCAAAAATAAGGTCTTTTTTCATTATTTCATGAAATAAATATATATATTTTTTTTAATTTACATTTGATTTCATTTAAGCTAATTTTAAAATATTTTCTTTTATTGTTTCAAAAAATGTTAAATTTATTTTATTTTATATTTTTATCTATAGGGTACAACAAATTTCTAACTACACAAGGAACATTCAAGACAACAGTGGGCATTTCTATTAGCGTGATATTTTTTTTTTTTTACCATATGGATATATTATTTTATTAAACTTAATATAATAATTTTATTATTTTATTTTATTTTATTTTTTTTTTTTTTTTTTAATTCTACTAGTATGATTAAAAATTTAGATATATTCAATGAATTCATAAAAAAACGTTTTTTTAATTACACCTTTAAATGTGTAAACAAAGAATATAAGATATTTATTTGATCATATATTAGTATATTTTCTTTTTTTTCTTTAAAATATTAAAAAAAAAATTACATATATTTGGTAATACATAAAACGAATAAGCAGTTTTTTGATATTTTAAAAAAACAAATATAATAGTTTTTTAGTTTTATGGTTTATAATTATTAAATTTATACTGAGTTTTTTGTACATCTTTTTGTTTTATTTTAGAAAAACTCTTATTATTATTAAAAAAAAATTAATATACAAAATATTTTTCATTAATTTCATTGCATGATTTCTTATAATAGAAAATAATCATATAAAATAAATGAAATAAAAGGATACTTAACCAAAAAAAAAAAAAAAAAAAAAAAAAAAAAAACACTGTCAATTTTAATATTACTTATTATTATAAATATATGTGTCCAACAAACACCATTGTGTAAATATGAATGACATTATTTATTTTTTAAAGTGAATGATAATATGTACTAATCTTACAAAATAATAATTGGAAACATTATAATTTTTTAATTATATTCTTCATTATTATTTTTAAAGTGAGGAATTTTCCTTTTATTTTGTACTTATATATGCAATAAAATATAGAAAAAAAAATTATAGATATTTATAATGTTATTATTTTTTAATATATATATTTATTCATTATTATCTGAAGAACTCAATACATTTAATTGGAGATATTTTATTTTTAATTTCAATTCCTAATAAAAATTAACGAATTTTTGAAAATAGGAGGATCCTACATTATAAGATATATAATTCTTATTCAACTAATTTACTTTATTTTTTTTTCTAAATTAACTAAAAACAAAAATATATGCTTTCTACCATAATGGAAGTAAATAGAAATATAAAAAATACTTTTAAAAAATATTTTATAATTTTTAAATACATAAAAAATGCAACAAAAAAAAAATATATAATGAAACTTCAAATAAAAAAAAAAAAAAAAAATCAAAAAAAAAAAAAAATTAAAAATAAAAAGATATGCATGTTTATTTTATTTATTATATTCTTTTTTTATTATTCATTAAATCAAAAAAAGATTTAGAATAACTGTATCCTTAAAATGATTAATTCACTCTTATATTTGGATACAGAAAAAAAAAAAAAAAAAAAAAAAAAAAAAAAAAAAANATTTAAAAAAAAAAAAAAAAAAAAAAAAATATTTTGCAAATTAAATATATGTAATATATATATATGCATATGTATACAAAAATTTTTTTTTTCATATAAAAAAAAAAAAATATATATAAAAAAGTAACAAAATTTAAAAAAAAAAAAAAATAAATAAAACTTTAAATAAAAAATTTTTTATAAAAATAAAAAAAAAAAAACGAAAAATTATAAAAATATTATATAATAAAAAACGAAAAAAAAAAAGTAAAAAAACACAAAAAAAAAAAAAGTAAAAAAAAAGTTAAAAAAATAAACATTATAAAATTATAGTAAGGAAAAAAAAAAAAAATATATATAAATAGATAGTTTTACATAGAAATAAAAAAAAAAAAATAGGTATTTAATTTTTAAGAGAGAGAACAAAGAAGTTAATAAGATATTCATAACTCAATACTTTTTAATAGTACTATTTTTTTTTTTAAACTTTCTATATGTAATAAAAAATAATAATTTATTTATATAAAACAAATAAATTAATATATACATATTTATATATATGTGTATATTTTTATCTTTATTTTTTTTTAAATTTAAATAATTTTTCCATTTATTACAATACATATATATATATATATATATGTTTTTATTTTTTTGGTGGATATAATTAAAACATATATAAAATAAAAAAAAAAAAAATTATATATAAATAAGTATATATTATATATATTTCAATATAAATGAATATTTAAATGTACTTTTAAAAACACTAAAGATTATTATATATTATTATTATAAATTTGTATGATTGAATTTAACACGTGCATAATAGTTACATTTTATGTGAATACCTAATTTGTTTTGTGTATGAAAAAAGAAAATAAAATTAAAGTATTTCTATAATGTTATGTTTATAAATCCATTTAATTATAAGAATGCTTACTGTAATGAAATAAAAAAAAAAAAAAAAAAAAACATATATATATATATATTTATTTATTACTATTATAAAAATATTACTCATTATAAGAAAAAAGAAAAGGGTAAAAAGAAAAAAAAGAAAAAAGAATTATTTTATATATTATTTTTTAATAAAAAAAAATTTTATTTTGAATTTTTTTTTTTTTTTTTTTTTTGATATACAAATATATATTAACATTCTAAATTCATGTTTCTTTATTTATTGTAGAACAGAAAAAAAAAAAAAAAAAAAAATAAAATAAAACAAAATAGTATGATCAGTGGACATTTTATAATATATAAAAAAAAATAATTAATAATTGTATAATTTATTTATTTAAAAGAACAAAACTAAAATATATACTAATAAGTAATAACAAATTAATTTCTAAAATTATAATTTTATATATTTTATTTTAATTCCTTTTTTTAGCTTTTTATAATTCTAAGATATACTAAGGAAATTTATGAGTTTTATATCTATGAATATTATTTAATTATTTACATGTGTACTTTATTTATATCCTTTTCTTATTTTTTTTTTTTTTTTTTAAATTTAATTAATATTATTTATATAATTATTTAATACTATATATTTACCTATTTAATTATTTTATTTTACCATATTTTTTTTTTTTTTTTAAAAAATAATTAATAAACGACATATTTATTATATTACATTAAAATTTTTATTATATCTCTTCATTTTTTTTTTTTTCTTTTCTTTTTTTTTTTTTTTTTTTTGTATTATAAATTTTGATAAATGAGATTGTTTAGAAATAATATAAAAAAAGTATATACGTATATATAGAGAGAGCATAATTTTTTTTAATTTTTAAGTATTCTACATATAGTAAATACATATTTTTATAAGAATATATATATATATATATATTTTCTTTTTGAATACATTTAAAAATTAATTTTAAAAAAAAAAAAAAGAAAATTTCAAAATGATAGCTACCGGTACAAATATAATGCATCCTAGTTTTTCTACTGCATCATTATATGTTGGTGATTTAAATGAAGATGTAACAGAAGCCGTTTTGTATGAAATTTTTAACACAGTTGGTCATGTTTCTTCTATAAGAGTATGTAGAGATAGTGTAACGAGAAAATCATTAGGATATGCATATGTTAATTATCACAACTTAGCAGATGCAGAAAGAGCTTTAGATACTTTAAATTATACAAACATAAAAGGACAACCAGCTAGAATTATGTGGAGTCATAGAGATCCTTCATTAAGAAAAAGTGGTGCTGGTAATATTTTTGTTAAGAATTTAGATAAATCTATTGATAATAAAGCTTTATTTGATACATTTAGTATGTTTGGAAATATTTTATCATGTAAAGTTGCAACTGATGAATTCGGAAAAAGTAAAAGTTACGGTTTTGTTCATTATGAAGATGAAGAAAGTGCAAAAGAAGCTATAGAAAAAGTGAATGGTGTTCAATTGGGATCTAAAACTGTTTATGTTGGTCCCTTTATTAAGAAGTCAGAACGAGTAACAAATGATACAAAATTTACCAATTTATATGTAAAAAATTTTCCAGATAGTGTAACAGAAACTCATTTAAGACAACTTTTTAGTCCTTATGGTGAAATTACTTCAATGATTGTAAAAACAGATAATAAAAATAGGAAATTTTGTTTTGTTAATTATGCAGACTCAGAAAGTGCAAAGAATGCAATGGAGAATTTAAATGGAAAAAAGATTACTGATGATGGTCAAATAGATAAGAATTATGATGCAAATAGAGAAGAAGGAGAAAATAAAAATAGTACCAATAATAATGCTAATACTTCTACTAATACGAATAATAATAATGGTTCCCCTCAAAATACGAATACAACAAATACAACCATTGGTAGTAGTAATAATTCTATTAATTTAAATGATAGCACTGCTAATAATAATAATAATAATAAAAAAGAAAATCAAACAGAAGGTGCAGATCATCCAAATGTTTTGTATGTTGGACCCCATCAATCAAGAGCAAGAAGACATGCTATTTTAAAAGCTAAATTTGATAATTTAAATGTAGAAAATAAAAACAAACATCAAGGTGTAAATTTATACATAAAAAATTTAGATGATGCTATTGATGATCAAATGTTGAGAGAATTATTCGAACCATATGGTACGATAACATCAGCAAAAGTAATGAGAGATGATAAAGAGCAAAGTAAGGGATTTGGATTTGTATGTTTTGCATCACAAGAAGAAGCAAATAAAGCAGTAACAGAAATGCATTTAAAAATAATTAATGGAAAACCATTATATGTAGGTTTAGCTGAAAAAAGAGAACAACGATTATCTAGATTACAACAAAGATTTCGCATGCATCCAATTAGACATCATATAAATAGCCCAATTAACTCTCCTATCCAATACGCAAATCCACAATCTCCTCAATTACAATTTAGTCAAAATACTTTAAGTTATGGAAGACCTGTTATAACTGCTTTTAATCAAAATAATCTAATTTCTTGGAGACACCAGCAAGCAGCACAACAACAGGCTGTTCATCAACAAGCCGTTCATCAGCAAGCTGCACAACAACAACTTAATTTTAACAACAATATAAGAGGACAAATTAATCAAATGAGATTGTATACTCAAAATAATATTATGAATAATAATATAAATCAAAATAAAAACAATTCTCAATTGCATCACAATCAACCATATAATAATAATATTTCTCAGAATGGTCAACAACAACAAAATATAAATGTATCTAATCAACATAACACTCAGCAATTACAAGGAAATAATCAATTATTAAACAATAATATTAGAAATATGAATAATAGAACAAATAGAAATATGACTAATATGAACATATCTAATCAAAAACAAATTCCTTTAAATATGAATAACAAGCAAAATACATCACAAACTAATCAAATAAATCATCAATCGCAACAACAAACATCACAACAAAAATCATCACAACAAATGCAACAAGTCCCTCAAAATAATAATTTTAAATTTACCTCACAAGCAAGGAATCGTATGGAAATACCAAATAAAAATGCAAACAAAGTTAATTCTGTTAATAATATGAATGTGAATTTTAATAATAATTCTACATTAACAGCTGCAGCATTAGCATCTGCACCTCCTTCCATGCAAAAACAAGTTTTAGGAGAAAATTTATTTCCATTAGTTGCAAATTATCATCCAACATTAGCTGGAAAAATTACAGGAATGATGCTGGAAATGGATAACTCAGAACTACTTATATTATTAGAAAATGAAGAGCAATTGAAGAAGAAAATCGACGAAGCTTTAGTTGTTTTACAAAAAGCAAAATAAAGATAATATATACATACTAGCTAAAAATTTATTGAATTGCACATAGAAAAAAAAAAAAAAAAAAAAAAAAAAGATAACTATTTATAAAAACATAAAAAAAAAAAAAAAAATAAGAGAAAAATAGAATAAAAAATTATTAACATATTTTTGTTTAGAAATAAAAAAAAAAAAAAATAGTAAATAATTATAAAAATATTTGTATATAATAGAAATAAAAAATAAAATAATTTTATATAGTATATATAAATTTTTTTGTAATTATATACAATTAAATTTGGATTATTTTATATTTAAGCTAACACATATATATATATATGACTATTTAACGTAACTTTTTTTTTTTTTTCATATATATATTTATTTACGTCTTTTTTCATGAATATTTATTTCATATTTTTTTAATTTTAATCTTTTCAAAAGAGGCTGTTGCTGTATTATTTAAATAAAATTAAATATATTGTAAATTTTATTTTTTATACTCATTTTTTCATTTATATTAGAAAAAAATTTGTAAAGTATAAAAACGTAAGTATATATTTATATATACAAATCTTTTTATCTTTTTTTTTTTTTTATTTTAGTATAATATTTTAAAGTTATGTTCATATAAAAAAAGAAAAAATTATAATAGTTTAAAAAAAAAAAAAAATTTTTTTCTTATGCATACTTTTCTTCATTGTTATATTTATTAACATTCTTTAGAAAATTTTGTATTTTGTGCTTTTACATATTAGGAAAAAAAAAACAACAACAAAAAAAAAAAAAAAAATGAATTAAATTGAGCAATAGTAATTTTTGTAATAAGAAATTTTTATACATGAATAATTTGTGAATTTTAAAAAAAAAAAAAGATTAGATCTGAAATCCTAAATATAAAAAAATTTTATACTTGATTAATATATTTTTAACATTTTGTTGTAAATTTCCTTTTTTTTTCATTATTTTTTATATATACTGCTTTATATATATATTTTTTTTTTT